TCTCGCTCTGTGTCCACTTTCTCTCTCACCTGCATCATGTGCAGTGGCTTAAGAAAGCCCACCTCTCCTCCCATAGCCGAAGACTTCACCAAGTCCATGCACAATTTTCTCTCTTATTGGAGTTCACTGTTTCTTCCTTCGAACATGCCTTGGTGGTTGACAAGGACAACTTTAGCTCGACATCAGGAGGAGGCAGAGAGAATGAGAGTAAGGGAGGAGACTGGGGTAAGGGGATAGGTGAAAGAGTGGGGAGGCCAGGAGACAAAGAGGGGAGAGGGAAGAAGGCAAGCAGAAGGGAAGAAGAGAGGAGTGCCGTCACTTAACCAGTTGAAATATGCAAATTTGGCTAAACATTGGGTTACACAATTAGCTAAGGGGGTAATTACTCATTTTTGAAATATAATCATTTGGACATAAAAATTGGAATCCTACAGTTTTATTTCTATCGTTAGCAATTTGGTAATAATAATTGGGTGTTTTTTTACTAACCCATGCATGACATGCCATCATGAGCTACCACCACATTTAGCGGAATGAGTTGCCAAAAGATAAGAGTGGTGTGGTCTAAACACTCTATGTGACTAGCAGGTGGAGCTTACCACTAGTCCATCTCTTGGTAACTAATATAGTAAAATGAGCTGCCACCTCATGCCATTTTTTCCACACACATGTAATTTTATGTCGCTATTTACAAAAGCCTTCAAGAGTGGAGCTTTGCTTTGTATTTATTAGACGAAAGTGATGGACCGAGGACTCGTTTAACAGTTTGTTTCTGCCAGCGTGATGATTCGTTAATATGATGGTTGCGGAAAAGAAGTTCGTAAATTAGTAGCCAATATAGTCTGAATCTGAACCATACCTGAGTTTCTTAGGGTATAAAGATTTTGATCAAGCATTTCTTACCGGATTTGGGTTTTGATTTGTTGTTTTCTTATGATCCGTATCAGGCTTGTTAAGTACATGATCCTGACCTGACCCGACCCATTTACTACCCTCAGTGTTACCTGGGTACTCCTCCACTGAAGCCGTACCCATACCCGATACGTACCCTTTACTCAAACTCTTTGGACACTCCTTGCATATATGAATATATTTATTCAGTCTTGTACTCACTTATGAAATATATGTTTTAAGTTAAAACTTTTCTCATACTTTTCTTGTATGTATATCCTACACTTCACATTCACTTCTCAAACTCGTTGAACATAGGTTGGATTTCAAACTGTTATTTAAGGATCATTAGGGTGCCTAGTTCAAAAATGATAGTATTTTTTCCAATTTATAATCCACAGATGATATAAGAAACATAAAAATATTATAGAAATTTTAATTCTCATAGCACGTGAATGAAAAACAACATTGATCTCATGTAAATTATTAATTTCAATATACAATATATGCATGTATATAAATATTTATATAGTACCTTACCCTTTACAAATTTGTTATGCCTGTACCCCTACCCGTACTGGCATCCATACCTGTACCCGTTTCCATGCCACTTAGACTGCCCTAAATGCGCTGCAGTCTCTTTCATATGTATATATAAATGATTCCAATCATTTGCATTCTCTTGGATTCGACTGTCATAATGTTAGTTGCGCCATTAATGCATTCCTTTTCTTGTTACAGTTGATAAAGTAGAAACTTTAAAGCGTTACAAATTTAGCTTGGCTTTTGAGAATTCCAATGAAGAGGATTATGTTACGGAGAAATTCTTTCAATCCCTTGTTGCAGGTATTCTAACTTTATTGGTAGATCAACATATCAGCATATATAAATAGTGTCTACAAATTGAGTTTCATGAATTGATGATTTATTTGTCATGGGTTGCTGCTTAATTTTCGATCTTTTTTTTACAGATCTGTTATGATTACATTAAATATCTATTTGTATTTGATTACTTATATTTTAATTGTTGTTTCCATTATCATTTACAGTCGCTGAGATATGTTCTTATTTTCTTCAGAATATCACTATAGGAAAGAGATGTAATCGTTCTTTAAGCGACGGCTTTCCTCACATTGTAGTCCACAAGGCACTAACGTAAACAAACAGAAAAACTTATAGAGCCTTTAAAAATCTAGATCTTGACATGTTCATTGGTTTGTGGCTAATTTTCCAATAATGCCTATGTTGTATATTTCATATGTTTGAAATATATACTTCTTGCTGAAGTTAGTGACCTAATACTAAGCTTGGATGTGTCTAAATTTTAATGAAAGGGGTATGGTTGTGATAATTGTTGTTTCTGCATGAGCGATGCATGCGAGTGTCAATATGGAGCGCACACATGCTTTTAAAGAGCATTCAGCATTTCATGGATGTGTATACTTTTTAAGAGTATTCGTTATATAATATGTGTCCCATATTTCTAAAGAGCATTCATTATTTCATGGATGTAGAGCCCATATACTTTTTAATAGTATTCAGTGTATAATGTGCATCCCTATATGAAAAGCAGGTTGGTAGAACATTCTGTTCTCAACTTTGGTTTTAAATTGACATGTGCTATGCACCATGTGTCATAGAATATAAATGTTTCAAGGCATATGCAATTTTAATGCATATAAAGTTCCTATGTAATGTTAAGTATTGAAGGAGGTAGTGTACCTGATAGAGTCAAAATGACCAGTAAATTTATCTTTTATAGGTGGAATATTAGTGAAAAATTATATTGTATAGGAAAAGCTATGGGAAAATGGAAAAGAAAATTCGTATCAGAAAAAAAGTGAGTTGATGTCAAACCAAGGCTAAGCGGAAAGCTGCCACACCAAGTCAAAATTGTTTTATTTTTTAAAATTTCAATTAGGGACACATTCAAAAAAAAAAAAAGAGAGAAAAAAAGAAGAAAGAAGAGTCAAGAAACAAATCGAAAATTAAATGGAGGAAAATTTCTACAAATATATATGTGTGTGTTGATTTGTAGAGATGATCTGTAACAATACTTAGATCCAATGACACAATATTGTTAAATAATATATACAGTTTAATGTGGTAAATTAACTTGAAACAGACTTTCGTACATCAAACAGTCAATGAGAATGACTTAATGTAAATTGTCGTAGGAAAAAACATACATATTAAAATACAATCACTATTAGTTATTGCTTCAAGTTCCTTCCAAAGTCAAGTAGAATCCTCTCAGGAAAAGGAGAAAAACCATGAAAACATGAAAAAAAACCTTCATAAGTGATCTAACGCTTAACACCATTTTTCAGACCGCTCTCACGTAGAAAGCGATTTTGGTGCGTCCTACCCGCTTTGAAACTCAATGGAGTGGCAAGGTGTCATTTTATCTATTTTAGCATTTTTCTAGCGCTTTGGCTTGCTTCTTACAACATTGTGTAGAACTTGTGGGCGTCGATCAAGAGGATCGATAAGGTTTGGTTACAACTTTGATTGAAATTAATGGCTAAGATTATATATGGAGAAGTTTGAAAGGTTAATATTTTGAAGGACTAATAAATAAAAGGAAAGATAAATAATATACAAATTAGGTATATCAGATTTACACACAACATCTAACCTTTAATAGCGACTTCACACTATAGCAACTCACATGCATACTGTACTAGTAAATCACATGCTAAGCTTCATAATTTTATTTCTCAATTCTCCCAATTCTCCATCCTCTACAATGAAAATTGTAATCCATATATATAAGGTTTGAAATCCCATCTCTACTAAACCTCCTTATATAAATAAACTTCTAATCCTATTACAACTCAGAATAAAATAACCTTATCCTAAATTAGAATCATTGAATCAAATCAAATAGCTAAACTTTAAAATATAAATTTAATATCCTATCAACTTTATCTATCCTAATTTTTCATTTTACCGAATCAAGACTCTTCAAACAAATCTTAATTTGTTTTTGAATTGTCCTACATAAGAACTTCCCTTGTTGGAGAGAACTCAGCCTCAAGTTTTAAAATGTGATAAATTGATAAATCTTGAGACTTTTCTAAACTCTAATTGCACAGTTTCTGAGGTTCTCAACAATATTTGCGAAACTTGATAACGTGTTAGAAGGGAATCTGATATAACAAACTCTATTTTTGCTTCACCATGAACTGGAAGTAACTTTGGCTGAATGACGGTTTGATTCCGTATTAGGATTTTATGTTTAGGTTCACACTCAGGCTTCGGGTATGATTTTTGATATGGCTCTGGTTTAAGCTCTCGTTTAGGCTTCAATTTCTCCTTTAGTGTTGCCTCATATTCTTGCTATGGATTTGACTCTAGATTATAATATGGTTCTCCATATAGTCGAGGCGGGGACAATTTCTTCTTGTGCTTCCAAGAAAACAATAATATTTTCTGGTCCTAGTTGGATGACTAGAATACCTCTTTTCAAGTAGAAACTTCATAGGTGTCCACTAATGTATACATGAATGATAATCAAAATAATTTTGAAACCATCGATCTTCAACTGTTCTTAATCTACACTTAACATTTGCATACATCTCCCACTTCGACATAACATTAATAGTAAATAAGTGTTTCTAATTCTTGCATCCATTGTTTAAAATCACATATCTATCAAATCCCCAATAATAAGACACAATACCAATTTTGGTGGAATGAAATTTTATTGTTGTGAAAGTAGTAGCGATACTTTATCCATGATGATCACGGATGATATAAACTTACTTTGAAACTGATCGGAAGTTTTGTTGCAACTTTGATTGAAATCAACGGCTAGGATTGTATATGGAGGAGTTTGAGATGCCAAGATTTTTGTGGACTAATGAAATGAAAGAGAAGATAAATGGAGATATAAATATAGATAGGATTCACACACATCTAACCTTGGAAAACGACTTCATACCGTGGCTTATCACATGTTCCTAGACTTGCAAATCACAAGCTAAATGTCATAAGTTTATTTCTCAATTCTCATCTTCTACAATGAAATCAGAATCCATATATGTAGGGTGTGAAATTCTGTCTCTACTAAAATTCCAAATAGCAATAGTGCTATTAAGGGCGCTCGCCTCATTTCTCCTCATGCACCCTACAATGTGGGCGGTGGCGAAGTGTACCGCAATTAATGCGGCAATGCCTTTTGCGCCTCGTATGCGTCCTGCAATAGGGTTCTTTGAACATGGTACATGCAAGACACAACCTTGTATTTTTTTTATTCTTTAACAGTTCAACCGGGTCTTTATACCTCGTAACTCACGTTCCAGAAAGAAAAATAACCTATTAGGCCTTTTTAGTGGCCTGATTAAGGATCCTAGCTTGTTCTTGTTTTACTATTTAATTTTGCTTCAATATTGGTCTTGATTTGACTTTTTATTTGGAAAATTATGAACTTTGTTACTATGTTGGTTGTGTAAGCATTATGAATTAGGACCTTATTTTGTGGTTTGGTAGTAGATATTATTTATCTTGACTTATTTTGTATGTGAAAATACAAAAACATGGTATTTCAGGTATGTGTAAAGGGATTTTGCACCCTACATTGCTCATCGCGCATTGATAACAGTGACAATAAATTTCTAGTCCTAGTTAATTCAAAATAAAAAATAACTCTTTCCAATTTTTTATCAAATAGCTAAACTTTAAAAATAGTTTTTCCACTGGATCATTACTCTTCTACCAAATCTTAATTTGATCATCAAGTTGTCCTACATAAAGGGCACATAGTTTAATTTGGCTTCATGTGTTGAAGATCAACCATGAAGACACTGGCTATAGAAAGAGAAGATAAGAGATATAGATAGCATAGAGTCACTCCATATTTCCTCCCTTAAAAGAGGCCAACACATATCAGATCACTGAGAATTTTTTAATCTATTTTTTCCCTTTTAATCACATACGACCTATGGAGCCAACAACCAACACGTAGCGTATAAATTGATATGTGAACCTGGTAGTTCTTGTAGCAGAGAAAAGAAATAATGAGTAAAAATTAGCTATTTACAGTTTAGATTGTGGAAAACAAGTTATAACTATTAATAAATACTGTAGTGAGACATGCATATGTAGTGAGATAAAATAAACATTATGCAAATAGATGCAGTTCTAGATATGTTACAATTTTGCGTGAAATATAGCAGGTCATTATTTTGAAAATTAAGTTGCATGACTTTGACCCTATAGTACCCTAGTGAAGGAGATATCTTCTCATTATCATAAAATCAAACCTTGAGTAGCCACCTTATCTTTGTCAGGTGCCTTTTTCATCTTAATTCAAAAGTTTTTTTCTGTTGTGCAATGTTTCACATAAGGAGGCGTGCGATATAAAATGAGTATTGACAAGAGAAAAAGCTAATTATAAAGCTGAACCTAGTAAATGTTGATTAACTTGTTCTACTCAAATAATTTTTTGTTTTTTTGTTATTCTTTTGTAGGAACAATCCCTGTTGTAGTTGGTGCTCCAAATATACAAGATTTTGCTCCTTCACCTGGTTCAGTTCTACATATTAAAGAGCTTGCTGATATTGATTCGGTTGCTAAGACCATGAAATACCTTGGATCAAACCCTGACGCCTTTAACAAGTCATTGAGGTAATGCTGCTCATAGCTTGTCTAGCATTTATCTCCTTGATAATTTTCAATGATAAGATATATTTACCTTTGCCCTGTAATTTAGAATCTTGTTTCCACAATTTTTTTTCCTGTAAATTATGATAGTGTCTTACTCTTATTGTCATAAAAAACTGTTCCTAGGTTATGATTTTTAACAAATTATGAAATTATATAAATACTTTCAGTTTCAATAAGAGAGATTCTACTTAAAACATGAATTACATACAACCAACTAACAAAATGGTATGTTTATACACATGTAAATAGTAGAATATTGATAAACTAATGACATATATAATCTTTCAAATAGTTCATTTCTAATTTCTTTCAAGAGTTTTTAAAGTAACCAAAGGTATTTCTATACGAAAGAATGTAAGAAACTAAAATTAATAATTTTTAATTATTATGAAATATTTATAATATAGAATTAATCCATATTAGTAAACACATACATTTTGTTTTATC